GCGGACATGGCGCGGCAGGGGCTGCCGGCGGCACGTTGCGGGGCCGGCGGGAAGGCTGGGCGGACACCACCCGGCCCCGGGAGGAGGAAAGCGGGCCCGGCCCGGCTGGGGCCGGGGCGGGGCGGGGCGGGGCGGTGACTCCCCCCAAACCCCCAAGCCTCCGCAGCGGAGGCCGTGCGCCGCCTGCTGCCGTCGGGCTCGTCAAACCTCTTCACAACCTAAGAAGCAAACGCCGTTACCAACCCCACTTCGCAGGCCGGAAAAGTGTGGCCCAGAGCGGGAAGTCGCGCCCCGTGCCCTACGATGACCCAGGCAGGCGGACTGTCCACCCACGCGTGTGGGGGTGGGGCCCTCGCCGTGGAGAGGGGATGCCCCTCCTCCCCGCTCCAGGGGCCCACGCAGGGCTCAGGGCAGCCGGGCGCCTCCCGCTGGCCCGGACCTTGCGCAAGGGGAGGGGGGAAGAGGATGTCCTGAGGTGCTGGGCTGACACCGTGAGTGCGTCTCAGCACAGCGTTCCCCTCCGGTGGCCTCTCTTCCTCACGGCTCAGCTCGGCCCCCTCCACCCCGGGATGGACAACACTCGTCCTGGGACACCGCTCTGAGCCCCTGGCTGGCTGTCACTGTAGGGTCAGCGGCAGGGTCCCCCTTCACATCGGGACGTCAGCAGATCACCCTCTGTCACTTACGCCCAACTCCCGTGCAGGCCTGTTATTTCCATCTCATAAGGACCGTGCAGCCCACACAGGGGAAGTGTCCTGCGCCCAGGGCTGTGCTGTTTCCATTATGACAGCGGAGCTGACTCAAAACCCACCCCCCAGGGATTTCTCTTCCCCTTTCCTCCTCCGGGAAGGCAGGCTACCCAACTCAAAGCCCCTGAGCCCAGGGCCCCCAGGGAGGGCGATAGGAGAAGTCCCTACCTTTGCCTCTGCTCCTAAACCCATCATATGCTCACTAGGCCTTACTTCCTCCCGGTGGGCCAGCCTGCCCCTTTGTGAGTTCCCCCTACCCAAAAAAGAAGGTGCTTGGGGCTGGAAGCTGTGTGCAACACCTCCCTCAGACGGTTCAGTTCCAGAGAGCCTGCGGGCTAATTTACTGAACCCACTGTGTGTGCCAGGCCCGCGCTGGGTGCAGGAGCCCAGCACTGATGGATATGAGCTCCCCAGCAGTGACGGTGGAAGTCCTGGTGGCTGCTGCTTGATCCAGCTGGCAAGGGGGTGGAGGCAAAGTCAGCGAAAGCTTCCCAAAGGACACCTGAGCTCTGACTTGTCCTTAGACAGAACTGGACCAGGGACCCAGGGTAGGGCAGACTTAATTCAGGATGTGGGTTACCTCATCCCCACCAGCCAATGGCTAAGAGGCTTGTAAAGTCTAAAATTCAAGGAAATACCCAAAACACAGCCTACTCCTCCAACCCACTGTCATGGCCTCTCCCTGGTGGGATGAAGGTCCCGTTCTTTAAGGTGTATTCAGAGAAGCTCCTGACAGCCAGATGCCACATGTTGCCCAGCGTAGCCATTTTAAGTTTTCACAGCCACGCGGAGCCCTGTGGCAATCCCATACTCCGCTCCCAGGTGTCCTCAGTATTCCTTCAGTGCCACCAGGGTCCTCTGGGCTCTTAGGCTCCCCTGAGCCTCTGTTCTTGCCTGGATCCCAAGCTTGACTCCTTTGGTTCACGCCCTCATTTTGATGAAGCACATCCTTTAACCACTTTCTAACAGCTTGCAAGTCTGAAAAAGTTTGTATCCTACTTTTGCTTTTGATCGACATTTTGGCTCAGAATGCTGACTCCTCTGTTTATTGTCTTTTGCCTGTGGCTGCTGCTGAAATCCAGTGTCGTCTTATTCCCAGACCTTTGGCTTGTCTTTGCCTTTTTGTCTCTCCACAAACTTCCTGGTTCTTCTGACTCTGGTGTCTGAAATTGTGGGGGAGGGGCTACATTCCTGGGCTGGCCCTCCCTGGAGGTCATGCAGCACCTCACTCCCCAGTGACGCCCTTCTCTGGACAACCTTTTCCAATTGCTTCAAGCGCGCCCTCTCCTGACAGAAGGCCTTTCCTCAGCTAACTCGGCACGTGAGGGATGGAAGGTACGAGAGGATCAAGCTTAGAAAAGGAGAAAAATGTTTATGCTACATTTTTTTTTTTTACCTCACAATGAAAATAGCTTTTGTTATGTCCTATATCTGTCCTTAACAAAATGTAATTTTTAAAATTTAATACTTTTATATGACTCAAAATTTAAAAAAAGTATAATAGTACATTTAGCAATAACTTTCCCTCACAACCGCACCCCCTGGCTACCCAGTTTCCCTCCCTGGAGACATCCAATATTACTACCTTCCTGTGGATCCTTCCAGAAATGTCAGGGGTATTCTGTGGAAATTCAAACAAAAAAATTACATTGCATATAAGACAAGAAATAACAAGTGCTGGTGAGGATGTGGAGAAAAGGAAACCATTGTGCACTGTTGGTGGGAATGTAAATTGGTGAAGCCACTGTGAAAAACAGGATGGAGGGTCCTCAAAATATTAAGGGGATTAGAGAGATGGGAAAAGTGGTTGGATTTGGGAGGGCTGGAGAAGTTAAGTAACTTGACTGATGTCACATAGTGACTACTCAAATTTATATGAATTAAAATGACACAAAATTAACATTCTACTTTCTCAGTGGCATCAGCCACTTTATGAGTGCTTAATAGACACATATGGCTACCTTATTGAGCAGGCAGATCAGAGAATATTTCCATTGTCGCAGAGCGTGAGGGACAGCACTCCCTCAGAAACCAGGTCTCCTGAAGTTCCTTGCCTAATGCGCAGGCAGATTCCCTACTCAGTTTGACGTCTCTGAGTGTTTGGGGGCTGATGTCAGCAACTCTAGATTGTGCTTGACCTGGCAGTGCTCCCCAACCTTTAAAAAAGTGTGGCGTCCAGAGCAGTGCAATTATCCCTGCCCCTTTACTACAATTCAAGGTAGGGACTGAGAGGTAGGAAGCCACCGTCACTAATGTGTCCGTGTGAATTTGACCACAGGGCCACTGGGGCTGCATGGATACACAGAGCGGCCACGTATGAACCCTTCTTCACGTACGACTTCATGAAGCAATCGGATTTGCCCAGCTTCTGAAAATGTTGGCACACAGCATGCACATTTCACGACTGGAATCGCCCATTTCCGAATTAGATGTCAGAAGAATAATAAAGTAACTTGTGGTGAGTACGTACTATCTGTAACGAAACAAAATGGGGATTGCAGCAGCTACAGCTCAATCTTCCATCTCAGAGGTTTATTAACTCGAATCCCACTAGAATCAGTAGCAGGATCTGAGAGTGTAATAAAGTGGGCGCATTCAGTATGCTGCATGTTTCACACTTATTTGATCACTGGATATTTTTCTGTTTTCTTTTTTAATCTATGAAATGTCTTGTAAAATTAGTTTTCTAAGAAACACAGTTTGGGAAATACCATGCTGGTCCAGACTCATCATTTTACAGGTTATGAGAAATGAGTTCCAAAGAGGGTAGCATGACTTTCTCAAGGTCTTGTAGGAAGGTGGATAGGCTGGGATTCAAACTTGTCAGAGGCCAGTGCTTGGGCCCCTGCGTCATTCACTTATTGGAGAGTTGGAAGTACCATGCATGTCAGCCTTTCACAAGAGTCCTGGGTGAATGCTGAACCTTCTAGGCAGACTATCCTATATAATAAAAGCCTAATATGCTAAGTGTTCGACTGTTCGACCAGTTGGTATGATGCGCACTGACCACCAGGGGGCAGACACTCTGACCGGTAGGTTAGCTTGCTGCTGGGGTCTGGCCAATCAGGACTGGGTGAGATGGGCTGGACACGCCCTGGAGGCCTCCTGTGGTTCCTCCCCGGCCTCGATTGTGCACCGGTGCGGTCCCTCAGCCTGGCCTGCACCCTCTTGCAATCTAGGACCCCTTGAGGGATGTGGAGAGCCGGTTTCGGTGCACAAATCTGTGCACTGGGCCTCTAGTGTATATATTTAAAAGGCTAATATGCAAAGTGTCCCCTTGGGAGTTCGGCTGGGAGATTGGGAGCTCGATTGCTGGCTATGATGTGTGCT